TGCCGCGAATTTGGACCATCGTGAGATAAAGTCTGCTCGAGGGATTTTTTTGCCCGGCAGGTGCACGACACCGTAGTCGTATGCAGCTAATGCTATACTTCATCGTTGGATCATCGCCGCCGTCGGTTTATAAATCGACTTCTGTGGGCTGAATATGTATTGTAGGGCTTGATGGTCAGTAACTATGGTGAAGCGCAGTCCCACAAGGTATTTGTGCAGGCGTCTGACGGCCCAGTAGACAGCCAACGCTTCTTTCTGCGTTTGCGAATATCCTCGCTCTGCTGCATTCAGTAGACGAGAAATGCAGATAATTGGACATCCATCTTGTTCGAGTACAGCACCAATGCCCACGTCTGATGCGTCGGTGATCAGAGTTGGACGTTTCGTCGGAGAGAACGAGGCGAGTACCGGTCGGTTTGTTATCATCTGTATGGTTTCACGCAGAATTCATTCACACTCGGCCGTCCATTTCCAGTCTGCACTTGACTGGCCGGCAAACAGCGGATGGGTTTTTGTGGCGAAGTTAGGGATGAAACGCGAATAGCATTGGAGGCATCCCATGATGGATCTGAGTTGGTTTTGGTCTCTTGGTGACTCCAATTCAGTCAGTGGACGAAAGCAACTTGGATCAGGGCGGTAGTCTCTTTCATTAACTGTGAAGCCCGGGAACTCCAATTCTGGGGAACTGAACATGCACTTGGAAGCACGAATTGACACGTTCTTCTGGGCGAACCCTTCCAGGAGATTAGTGAGGCGTTCGTCATGTTCGGCCTTCTTTGCACCAAAAACAATGACATCATCCTGGTACGCTAGGACCCCATCAAGTCCATGAATGACTTCGTCTATGACCGCCTGGAATATGTCGGAGGATGTGTGGATACCAAATGATAGAAAGTTGTACTGGTATAATCCCCATGGTGTATTGATCGTGGTGAATTGGCGGCATGTGGCATCAAGCGGGATCTGGAGGTAGGTGTCAGCCAAGTCAATCTTCGAAAAACATATGCTGCCATGTAGAGCTTTCATGAGGTTTTCTGGTTCCATGGTAGTGGTCGCACAATTTCGCAGCCGGGGGTTGAGTGTTGGTCTGTAGTCACCACAAATTCTTGGTGTCTTACCATCACTTTTCATTGCGATCACAATTGTTGTTGCCCCCGCGCTGGATGTTACTCGAGTGAGGATGCCGTTATGCTTCATTTTCCAGAGCTTTAAACACCTTCACGCTGGCCTTCAAAAAGATAGGGTCTCCCTCAACTTCCCGTTTGGCCAGTCGAACATTCATGCCTCCTGTGTTATTTGAATATTGCACAATCAGTCGCTGTAGACGGGTGTGAACATTGGGCAGGGAACTCGTATGAAGCGACATCCCTCCGTTGCTAGACGTACGATTTCGTTGACATCATTTGCCTAGAGACTACTGGGTGTTCGAGGCGGGCGGTGACTGAGTGGAACAGTTTGGATACAGCTCACTCGGGACCGCCATCCATTTATTGCTAAACGTCCACCATCCACGTCTTCCTCTCTTCATTCACTCTCCCTCCAACCTCCCCAGAAGCTCTATACTTAGCATTCACTTATCCTCTACCTCCATTATACACCTCTACCTATTCGCATCAACCTCTTAGTCCCAATGGATGGTCTGGTTGTTCCATGAGTCTACAAGCTGCAACACTATTCTTGACAGCCCTATCTGACCGGAGCCCTGCGATGGGGGGTCTCTCCTGGTTATTTTATGCTATTAGTTTATGTGAAGAAGAGTATTTCTCTTCCTGTTGTCCTAGCACCAGGGGATCCACGGAGCCCATCACTGCAAAAAGCTGGACAAATCGGCACGCCGCCAAAANCCAAAACGTCCTGTGAACCGACCTGACCTGCCGTGACATGCACGGTTTTCTGTAAGTTCGTTGTTTTAACTAGTCACTGGGAGTCCCTCGCTCCCTTTCGAAATCACCAATCGGTCCTGTGATGGATGTGAGTTTTGAACTCTTCTTTGTTGTTTGTACAGCGGTTTGCATGTAACGCTGTTGCAATTTTTTTCCATGAAGTTTCCGAGTTCTCCTTTTTCAGCATTTAAAGCATGGTGATGTTCGTTTACAGTTAGGTAATGTGCGAAAACGTACGAATGATTTGATCACCTGTTGAATTGAACTACCTAGTTGTCGGGCACATACTCAGAATTTCAAACAATTTTTGTTCTTTTCATCTAAATTCTGGGTTGAAGTAAGTGGAGTTTATATATGCTAGTCATAATTAAAATGGAGAGCACTGGTGCCAAATTTTATGCTAATTTCAAGGATACTGAGGATTGTCTAGTTCACCCGTTGCATTGGAAGCTATGAAGTTATTTCACTATTTTCCCATTCCCTTCCGGTTCCTATCTACTGTAGTGATGTTTAAATGTAGACGGATTGTCCGCATAGCCTTCCGAATCACCGATTGGGGCACATGTGCGTTCGGCGTCTAGACTTCGCCACTCACTGTCATTCACTAATTTGGAGGTAATGATAATAATCGTTTTACACTTTGCCATGCTGACATGATTCAACTTGCAAACCACATACAACTTTGATAGGTTCACATTTATAATACGCTTAGTTTGAGAGGATCACAAATACCGAATCAACTATACGCAGTGTTGAAAGCTACTCCCTTCCTCCAACAACACAATAAACCGGATGCTCGATTGAAAAAAGCCATATCCTGGGCAAACTGATCTGAGCTGAGCTGAACTGTTAACTAGTTGATTCTGTTGGGGTGACGCTAGGCACTCTTTTTGACTTGTTTTGTGGATGCAACCAGTGCTTCACACGGAAGAGAAAAAACGCTAACATCAAGTATACGGTTCCCGAGATTGCACACAAATGTTTTGTCATTTAGGCGCGAAACCGAATGCCTTCGAAGTACGTTCACCGAGCGAAGCAGAATATACAACCAAAAGATAATTCCATGCTGCATCGGTCGTCGCGCAGGATTATCAGGACCGCGCTGCCCATTGCATCGAGCGGGGTGGGTAGTGATAAATGGGCTACTGCTCAGATATCTCAACCTTTAACTCTATCTTCCATTCCCAACCCTTTCCCTTTACCCCTTCTTCCTACCCGTAGCACTATCAGAGAGCTTGTTCGTCACTCGGTAAGTAGTTTACCACAAAATAGAGCGCAGATTCTGAAGCCCCGTCAAACACTGAATCTGGGGGCCTTCAATGTGAGGACTCTGATGCAGGTAGGTCAACAAGCATGTCTGGCGCTTACAGTGGACTCTTTGGGAATGGATGTCTGCTGCGTATCGGAGACTTGAATCCAGGATCCTAGTACTATATGTCACTTAAGTGCAACAGGGTTGTCTTCGTGGTTCTTCCCCCGCACGTCAGGTGATGACGAAGCCCGTTCAGGAGACCAGCGTGGTGTGGGCATTGTACTAAACAATACAACCGAAGCCGTACTGCTCGATTGGATTCCCGTCAACAGCCGCTTATGTGCGATCCGGCTCCAAGGGTACATCAGCGTCCGGAAAGGAAGCAACACTAAAAGGTGTTTGTCCATCATTTCACCGCATGCTCCGACCAACTGCGCTTCTGACGCACAAAACGACGAGTTTTATGATAAACTCACCGAACTCATTCGACGGAGCCGAAGCTTCCAAATAGTTGTTCTCGCAGGTGATTTTAACGCTCAAGTTCGAAAACTGAGCGCATCAGAAGCTTGCTTAGGCGGCCATTGTGCTCTGCCCTGCCAGCGAACTAATAATGGCGATCAAATTCTTCAGTTCTGCGCAGATCATCATCTGTTCCTATCAAGCACCAACTTCCAACACATCTCTCGACGGACGGCAACGTGGCGCTCCAGTTCAACTGGCACGCTAACTCAGATCGACCACATAGCAGTAAGTTACCGCTGGCGTGGCTCAGTACAACACTGCAGGTCTTATTGGACCACCTCCGTTGAATCTGATCATGTGTTAGTTTTGATGCAGTTTATTCTCCAACTCACTGCTCGTAGAAAATCCCACCAAACTCGATTGGCAGACCATCACTTATCTGACCCAGCCGTTCCCGCCAGTTTTAAGTCAGAACTAGGGAAAGAGCTAAACGCACTGCGGGGTGGTAGTGTAAATCAACGAAGGGACCGTATTAGCCGAGCAATGCACTCCGCGGCGAGAATTGCTAGTGGATCTGAAGCGCCAGCCCGTTAGAGACAATAGATCTCTGATGAGTCAGTAGCACTGGTGAAGAAAAAGCGGGGAATCCCGACCACCCGGAATCAAGGCAGGGTTAAGTGGCGTCTGCAACGTCAACTCAAGAAAGACCGCAACGATTGCTAGTGAAATGGAAGTAGCGGCTGCATCAGGGAATAATCAGAGACTGTTCCAACTGATACGCAATACGGGAGGTCGGCGAACCACGGTTAGTGAAACAATCTGCGACAAAAGTGGGCAAGCTATTCACAATAGGGAACAAAAGCTTGACCGGTGGGCGGAGTACTTCAACGAACAGTTCAGCTGGCCAGGCGCTAACCAGATAGCCTGGGCTATCTCCTGCGATGTAGCTGAGGCTCCGTGGACAGTGTCATCTGAACCTCCTACTGCAGCAGAAGTTCGTTCTTGCATCCAATCCCTGAAGAAAGGAAAAGCAGCAGGGCCGAATAGGCTTCCTTTCACTTTTTTCAAGATGGGGGGGGCGATGACCTCGTAGACTCCATTACTGATCTAATCCGTGACGAGCGCAGTCCATCATTGTGGAGCAATTCACTGATCATTCCGATTTTTAAGAAGAGATCTTGCAACGACTGCGCAAACCACCGTGGAATAAGTTTGATCCCAATCATCACGAAGTTACTAGCCTCCATTATACTTCAACGTTTGACTCCGTTTAGGGAGACAAACATCCGCGAACAACAAGCAGGATTTCGATCAGGTCGCGATTGTACCAATTAAATCTTCACCCTGCGTCAATTCCTCGAGCTACGCCATACGCACCGTCGACCAACGGTTGTCGCGTTCCTTGACCTAAAAGGAGCTTTCGATTCAGGTGATCGTGAATTCCTTATGAGTTCTTTCCTTCGCAAAGTATGTGAACATGCTGAGTTCACTCCACTCACATACCTCTGGCAGCGTAAGGGTCTACGGCGAGTTGAGCAGGCCGTTCGTAACTAAGAGCGGTGTTCGTCAAGAGTGCCATTCCTGTTCAATTTCGTAGACAAAATACTGGAGAACGCACTAAGTGGTCTCCAAAATGTAGGTATTGAATGGGCAGCTGGAGAAAAGCTGTGCGATTAGGAGTACGCTGAGGACATCGTCTGCTTGTTCGAATGTATGAAAGAAGCACAAAGAGCACTTGACAGATTAGCGAGTTCTGTTGCTCCGTTCGGTATATGCTTTGCAAAGTAGCGCTACAAGACTGGGTGTCACCGAGTTCTGTTCTGAAACTAGACGGTCAGAAATTAGCTGAAGTTGACTACTTCTCCTAGGTAATTGCGTGACCAACGACGGCAGCGCATCAAAGGAGACAACCGCCCGCGTTTCCAAGGCTCGAGCAGCGTACGCAGGACTGAAACAAATGTGGCGGCGACGTGACGTTTCACCAAAGTTGAAAAGTTGCGCAATCGTACAATCAGTTCTACTTCGCGGTTGTGAGACCTTGAATTTGCGGGTTGAAGACACCCGTCGCTTAGCAGTGTTCGACAATCGATGCTTACGTAGTCTGGCCCAGGTTGGATAGAGCGAGCGGGTTAGTAACTTGAAAGTAAGTCGTCGGGTGTTTGGGAATACATCAAACAAGAAGTCGCTATCGCATAACAATTGTTTTGGGGTGTTTCACCGTACACTTTTTTAAATTTTTTGTTTGTGGTTTTTACGGGGCACGGGATTTTGACAGGCAGACCGCACAGCGTTCGCGCCACTGACTTCTATTCCGGACCATATCTCTCAGCGTCTCTAACCAACGACAATCCTCATCCTTTGGGCCCTAACCTGGAAGGCCGGCTGCACCAACCGAAGCCAAAACTGAAGCCAGCTTCTTCATGCCTCCAACCCATGTCATGGTTTGACCGCCGCGTCGTTTCTTCCAACCTTGCCCGACACGTGCGAAGAGAGCACGGAAAGGTAATCGATGGGCAGGCATAAGCAATACGTGACCAAGCCATCTTTTCCTTATACTCTGTACCGCAACCACCCCCCCCCCTCGTTATCGTTATTGTTTATATTGTTTTGGCGTTGACATCAAGCTTGTTCTCAAGCCAGTGTTATATATATATATATATATATATATATATATTATCGCTGTCGGATTGAATAGACTCGATAGGCTCCGTTGTTTAGAACACTACCTATGTCCGNTCCTGGCCCTCCAGGTTGGGGGTTCGATTAGAATTTGCGTTTCAGTCGGTAAAAAATGATGGAAGAGTAATTGATCCAACTAACTGGGCCTCCACTTCGCTTCACCCGCTGCCTATCGGCTAGTGGTAATGTTTGAGAATACATCAAACAAGAACTCGCTATCGCATCAAATAGACTCGATAGGCTCCGTTGTTTAGAACACTACCTATGTCCGACGGTCGCCTACCGCACCGTGCCTTATTCGCTGTGGCTGTTACAGGCTGGAGAAAGCCACGTGGAGGCCAACAGATGACGTGAAGACGAGGCATGAAGAAATGCACAGAGCGATTAGGTAGAGTAGGTGTCTCTAGTGTTCCGAGATGGTGTTCAAAAGACTCCGAAACCACATGGTTGGAGACACTGAAGGCCATGACTGCGAACCGACAGCAGTGGCGATCTTGCTGTCACTTATCAGACCGGAATGCTTGAAATAGTATGTACATAGTTGGACTGTGTACTCTGTGTTGACCATAGAGGATCCCTTTCTTTTCCCGTCCCTAAAAATAGGCCGCCCCGTCCTTATCCTCCTTACACATTCTCACTTATCTTGTGTGCATTATGAGTATGATATCGATCAGTGAAGTTCGCTTCACTGTACTACGCTGTACGATGATGATGATGATGACTCAACCCCAAGATTGGCAAGAGTTATAGATTAGTTGCATTCCGTGCAAAATTGTATTAGCAGTAGATTGTGATCGAAAATACGACAAAGAAAAGAAAAACGCAAAGTTCCGAAAACACTGTAGAAGTTTATTCTCTCCAGTTTATAGGAACAGTGTGTAGTGAAAACGACACTTACCGTTATGAGATACATTGACGAGGAATCGAAATATGCCTAGAATACAGTCCACCAGAATAGACTGATCGTTTGGTTGCGACGATATACCACTGGTGCTGCCGATTCCCGTCTTGACCAAAGAGGTTTTCTCTGTGCACCCAGTGTTAGCTGATGCAGTCGAGGACGAAGTAGACGCAGGTGGGGGTATTGATAAGGGTTGTTTCGGAAGGTGCGAAGCACATAGACGTACACAACGTAGCAATCGATTAACCAGTAATCGATCACGATACCGAACCAAGTAGGTTTGATTGTCAGAGTTCATATAGGTCATCTGTGAATTTGATAAGATACGTGCGAAACGAGAAAAATTTAAAAAAAATTAGAAACAGAGCAAGACAAAACACAAAAAGCAAATACCAATGCAACCACCGCGAGGAAATGTGACAGAAATGTACAACGCAGTTAAACAGACCCGATACAGACAGAAAAAACATGAAGTTGTTACACCCATATATGATGTTTAATGTTTGCGTGCTATACAGTTGGTTGGATCTATGTGAAAGTCAAAATGACGCTACTCGTTGTTAGATTGGCAAGTGCAACCGCCGGTCGTTGTTTTATGCCCCTCTGACTTTAAAACCTGTATTTGGTGATCTTGACCACAAGCCTGTGCACATTCATCAGTTACCGTGGTCTGGCTGAAGTGAGACGAATTGAAGGTGTTGACCATCGACTGGGTTTCGACTCACAAAACGAAGATTCGTGATTTGAGTCCGACAGAAACGCAAAAATAATCTACGCTAGTGATGAGTATGAACAAGAACCAAACAGCTGTTCTGTGCTTCCTGTTGACCATCACAAAAAAAATTGCATGGTCACTCATACTTCCAGGGTTGACAACAGATAAAACAGAGCACCACAAAAACACTACTATCATCTTGTCCCGTTGCGTTAGTCAATGCAGAACAAGGAGTTTGGAGGTTCAGTATCACGATTATTGAATACCGAGTAGTTTCTATACCCACAAACCAGCGGCACAACCAATGGCACTCTCAAGAAGGTATCAGTCTGCTGTCTTTTGAGCCAAATTCTAAGATACTGATATTCAGAGCGAATATATTATGAGGACGTGCATGTTTCAGTTAATTAGTGCACAGAGTGAGACCACAACGCAGCGAGGAACTCAAACCTACGTTTTCCAACAGTTTGGTATAATGACAGACACGACGCAGTTTATCAAGAGCAAAACTGTCCAATCCCGTGGGGTTCGTGTATGAACGCCATACAGACTTTGGACATCGGCGACCTCGGCCATCCTCCTGATCCGGATCCAAATCGGCAAGATAATCGACAGCATCCGCTGCAGCGTCAGCCACTCGATCCAATCCGCCACCGTGACGTAGTTCAGCTTTGAACCAATCTGCGGCTTTTCGGGTCCCGAGATTCAATATAGACTCCAGTACAAGATCGGCAGCCTGAGGACCAGTAAAACGAGTAAGCAGACCATGGATTTAGTCTATCCAGTTGGCGTTCATGAATACAGAAAATCCGTACAATAAAATCGCTTTTTGTTTCGTTGATTAAAGGATGACTAATGATTAGTTAATTGAAAGCTTTTAGATAGGTCTAGTGCGCTTACTCACCAGCATATCTGGAGCGGCAATCGACAACTCCTTCAGCGGTCTTCCGTGATTTTATTTTTAAACACACAACAGCACCAACATCGCCCCCTGTTGTCAGCTGCATAACACTCCCAGACTGGATTCGACTTGTGTAAGAGCTAAACCGTACCTGACTAGACCTCGCCAGGTTAAAGTTGGACAGCTATATGACGAGCGTTACATTCTTCCATTACTTTTCATGCAGTTGTGACTGTTGTCCAACGCAAATTAAAGTCAAGTCAAAAATTATAAGGTGAGTACTGAAGTACAAATTTTGGTCTGTCATGTTGCGTTGGTTGTTTGATAAGATTTCGCGGTCTGAACAAGGGTAAAAAGAAGTCCCATGATTAGCAGATCAAGAGGTCAAAACGGCCGGGCAACACTTTTAAAGTACATCACCTCTAATGAAGCCGCTAGGAAACAGGGCTCAAACTAATCAGTTTCAATTTGTAAGCCTTATCATGGGACAGTTTCCGTTGTTATCTTTTTCCACCGCGGGATTATATACTTGGTGACTTGCGTAACAAGGAAATCGAGCATTTGCTCGTGTGGGAGAACAAATTGGATAGCCAGAGGTGTACAAACCAGATCAAACATCCTACCGAAGACATGAACAGATTCAATGTGAACGAATAGTTGAACTGAAGATTCCAATGGGTACAAAAGTAAATTCTTGAGTGATCATCTCACTTGGTGTATGGCGCAAGTTATAGCTGAATGTCATCATTCAAAAACTGTGGTTACCGTGAGCTGCCGTGTCATCTGCAGATGGCGTGTGTTCAAACCGGCCCCTAAACCAGTCAGCCGTGTGGAAGGGGCCAATGTAATTGCGGGTGAAGTAGAAGATGAAGGTCGGGGAATGGGACGCTTCACGTTACTGTCATTAGTTGAACCGATGTTAGGGTTCACGATAACACTGTTTCCTGCACTTGGTAGCGTAGCGCTGGATTGGCGAGTACTGTTTTGTTGCTGTTGCAATCCATCAAGTAGTTGACGCACTCGAGCACGAACGCGTTCCGCTTCTTTGTTGGTGCGGGACAAACATGAGTTGATACCGTTTGAAGAAGAGACCATTGCTGTATATGGAGAGGGGTCAAAGGGGAAAGATGAAGCCGATGGATGGATTGATGAATTGATGGATGAATGGATGGATTGATGGATGAATGAATGAATGGATAAACTCACAGTCTGGAGCAGAGAGAATTTTGAGTACAACGGCCAATGATTCTGCATCAAACACGTTGGGATCACGATCGCGAGACAGGATGAAGAATAACCCGGCTGAAGTCAAAGCGAGCGTCTACAAATGAAGCGCAGCGATGAAAAATAATACAATTCCATTAATCTCAAAATGACAGTACAAAACAAAACCCAATGCCTAAACTTGATTACGATGATCATTGATGACTGGAATATACCTGAAAGAGCTGATGTTTTATGGGCATGTAAACTTTGACAACTAAGTCGACTTCTGGGGTCTAAGCGCTATCTAGGGTTTTCACAGCAGTTCAAAAATACGGACAGATGCATTCAAAGCGAACCAGACTAGAATTTCAATTACACAAAGGAACTGGATGAATCATGAACGTGATTAGCTAAGAACGTAAAAGGAGACCACTTACATAGTCTTTGTGAGCATCATGGAGGTTGGTGCAAATGCGTTTGATTAGGCCATGGGCATTTACCATATAGCGAAACGAGGCGGCCAGACATTTGTTCGCAAGTGTGAGTACACTGAAAAACAATCGACAGTAGGATGAAATAGTTGCAAAACGTTCTACAACTAGAGCACAATGGGACGAATATATCTTACAGTGACTGGTAGTTTGATCACGTTCATATAAAAAGCAAAAGAGAACAAACAGGTCAGTACGCGTGGCAGTCAAACAGGTGAAGCCACCAATCTTACACATGCATGACTAAACCAAAAGTGAAAATTGAAATTGGAAAAGATAACCAAATATGTTTAGGTGTGGGTCTTTGAAAGGCTCACCTCAAAGCACGAGTGTTTGTTTGATTGTGATCGGCAAGGCCATCAACCAAGTACTCCACATCGTCCAACAAGTGTTGGGTTTCACCGCGTTCCTGGCAGACATGCGCTTCTTTGACCTTCTGTACCACGGTGTACAACTAAGAAAAATAAAATTTTAAAGCCAGTATTAATGAACCCCGTAGATATAGTCCGCGATTTTCGACACACTGACAATGAGCAAAAATTATAGGCAAAACGAACAGTGATGAAATAATCTTGAGGCCACATGTGGGACATCTTTTGATGAACCGCAAACGGCGTAAACATCAAGAATCTACTGTTCAATAATACAAAGCGGCAACCTAAGCCCGATTACTTGGAGTGGAGAACTAGATAAAGCCGTATTAGCACAAACGTAGCATTGATCTGTGTGACGGCGAAGCTGTTTACCACTTACACGTAGTTTGCAGTGCAGTATGGAAGATGAAACGATAACAGGATAATCAATAATGATTAAAAGTCGCTGATAAAGTGGTATCAGAGGATTAATTAAATCAACTCCTGGGCCCTAAACAGCAAATCCTGTTACCTTATTTCTTTGTTGTTTGAACCCCATCTCTCGTTCTCAAGAAAATCTGCATATTTTCCTACCAATCCAAGGCACTATTACAATGGAAACAGTATAGTCGATGTCTTCTTGTTACGCACTGAAGGAACCATTCTTGTAACTCCGCCCTTGATGAATTACTCGAAGACAAAACTAAATATCCCAAAAAGAGGCGAGAAACAAAAGGAGAATCAAGGAATCAAGTCTATCAGACGAATACGGAATGATTCTAGAGGCTCGAAAGAGACGTTGTCACAAACCACATAGAGAACTAAGAAGCGTACGTCTTAATGCACTAATTGTAAGGACATCGACCACCAAACAATATAGATAGTATTCATGAGCACTAGTTGGTAGGACCCGCTTTTGCTACCCTCACCAGACGGTAAGAACAGCGAGTCGATCTTTGACCAATGAAAACAACTGACCAAACTTCTAACATCAGAAAACTTTTAAATGTACAAATACATGAAACCTAATACCGTGACCGTAGCGATTAGATAGAAATGCTGGGAATTACAGCACAACTTACAGGCTTTTGAGTTCGGTTGACACGATTGCTAGCCAACTCGGTATTGGTCTGGGGTTTTTTTCTCTGTTCTACAGCATCACGACTGGCGGGTCGGAACCAGGGCTTCACATCGTCTTCCTCTTCATCCTCGTCATTATCTTCATCCTCCTCCTCCACATTTATTTCATTCTCATGTTCATCTTCGGAGGGTTCGACGCCCGAGACGCGGCTATCAACACTCATCACATTTGTTGATTGGGGATCTATACAGCTTGAGGTTGGTCGGGAAGTGTTACTGAGACTGGACAATTCTGGTGACGGAGTCCCTATCAATCGAGAAAGTTTGGGCATTCGGGAAACATTGACTGTGGATGTAATGCTTATCTGTTGGGGACGCCGGAGCACATCTTCGGCCTCATCTAAATCGCTGTCGCTATCGGGAAAGTCGAAACTTTTTGCAACGCCGGAACGTGGTAAAGAGTCAGTGGCGGATGAACTTGAACGCGTCCAGCTAGGACGATCGCATAAGCCGGAGGAATGTGGATTTGTAGGTTTGAAAGAACTGGACCGGGTGCTGGTATTCAACTGTGATGAAGTGCGACTAGCTGATGATTCAGGCCAAGAAGTGATGGCCATTTTTGGCTGAAATAAATCACAGTAAGGAATACACCGTCGCACGTAAATATTATGGGATTCGTAGTTCAGAATTTAAGGAGACTGCTGGATTGAAAAAGAAACCACGTTGTGTTGATGTACGTAAGCAACAAACGAAGTGCAATTGTGAAAAAAATACTACTACGCAGTGAAAGGCTTGGTTAAAAGATTTGATTTAAACTCACCGCTTTGGTTGGCGACCCGTCCTCAGCATCTATGTCTTCTTGCCATGGTCGAGGATTGTAGGCCGCCTAAAAAGCAATTCATCGGTGGTTTAGAATAACTAACGTCAACATTGAATCCAATGCCTTGACTTTTAATATCTACGGACGGTGAAAAAATTGCATTTCAACCACAAATCATGCCGTTGGAAATGTTTGAGACAAGCATTTACGGAGAATGGTAAATGCATCAAGCACGGTATGAGGACTTTTGGCGCATTTATGCGGTATGCCTGTAGACCACTTATCAAAATTGGCAACCACATTCTGCCCGTTTCTGCCTTTTTTTAACTAAAATGGCATAAGGTGCTGAGTTTGTCGCTATGAGACAGCCGACGACATCCTATTCCGACAAAAAGAGATCGATTGTAGGTTAATATTACTTGCTCGAAAACCAGTTATATACCACAGCCAGGTGCTGTGACAGTGGACATTTCAGAACAGCAAAAAAACATAAAGATTCAACCTCTATCACAATAGCCCCTGTGATCAATATCCCAATAGGCTATTAGGAGCACGATTTGCTTGTTCCGGGGTCTATTCTCGAAGACAAAATATAAGTTTCCTACTCAGACAGTTTATGACAGCTTTAGGGAACAAACTCAGCCGACAAAACATAATTTCTAATCATGGAAAGTAATTAGAGAACTACTTAAAAATCTAAAGAACAGATGAGTCAGCAGAGTGGGCGACAGACCACTATCGCCATAGTGAGATGGCAGCTGTGGGTTTGGAAAATTAAAACTGTGCCTTAAACTCAAATCTCATCATAATTGATACGAATACAATGGGTGCTTTGACGAACATAGATGGCTCGTTATAGCTAATTGCCTAGTCGTACATTTCAACGTGGAGACCTGTGGTGTTTTCGACAGGCGTTCGTATGCGAAGTTTTAGAGTATTCGATATCCATGGAGAACAAAACTACAGCGGCGACACAGGGGAGAGGAGTTGAGTAAAAATGAAGAAAAATAGAAGCGAGCAATACTTTCTATTTGTATCTGCCTCGTATTGTATTGCGTGGGGTACAGGATTTCAAGAGACAGGTTGTCAAGTATTTGCATCAATAATTTTTGCCATGGGTCATGTCTCCCAGCCTCTTTCAACCAATGACAGTTCCAGGCCTCTGCTTGGTCATTCCCGAACACGGCAACTTCCAATTTAAGGGTCTTCTCTTTGTTTTCCTTCAGAGAATACATGAAAAACCTGATAGCGTTACGAATACTACTATGATTATGCTCGGAAGTTTATTTTCAGCCTAGTACAACTAACCTTGTTTCGATACAGACAACTGCAAAAAAAATTTAGATGATGAATTCGTCGTGTAAGGTGTGAGCTGAAAAGCTAGGAAGCACCGGACAGTTGCTTCGACCTGCTTGGATCTCGTTAGTTGTAAATTTTATTGTAGAGATAGGCGATTAGGCAGGAATGAACCGCCGTCTAGGAGATCAAATAGACTCCGTTTCTACACAGGATCGTGTACAGAGCAACAGAAGAGTAAACCCCATGATCACGAAATCTTGTTTTTTGGACTACATGACATGTACAATAAGGGATAAACTCTATGATCAAGGGTGTTATTCCATCATGGGAACCGGCGATTTAGGTCCCAGGGCGGATCCTAAAGGGCGTTAGCAGGTTAGGAGTGGTAGTGAGTCGGGTAACAGCGGAGCGACCCGTTCCCAAAACTGTGCACACTTGGGTAATCAGTATCTCGTGAGTAAATGGTTGAATTATTGCTCCTCGATTTAAGTTACTGGTTCTCTCGAAGAAAACTAACGCTCCAACCCCTTTTGTAAACCAAGACCCAGTCTATCGGTAACACCGTGTTGCTGTTATCTGGGAATTCTGCTCAAAAGTGTTGTATAGTTCGATGTAATAATTATAAAGAGCGATAGATTGCACCGGAACTAGGCACACGACTTTGATCCAGAAACGAACAGCAGTCTAGCATTATGGATTTCGAACAAGAAGCCAACTATACAACAAATTCAAGTTTTAGTTTGTTTAAACAACTATTACCGATGCACTTTTGCGTTTACTCTAGTTTGCAGTCTTTCAGTTACCCACATATTACGGGTAAACAAGACGAAGGCGTGGAACAAAAAACAATTAGTTACATTTTCGATTAGCTCTTTAAAACAAAAATAAATTGCTAACCATACCGTTGTTATACTTACTCGTTTGTTCTTTCCGCAGAGTAGGGTACGAACAGGTCGTTTACTATCCGAGGATTCCTCAGCGCTGTTTGAGTTTGCCGAAGGGAATGGAGAAGTACTTGCGCGAGATAAAGTTAAGGGCTTTGGCGGATGAACTTGAGTTCCCTGAGTATTCTGAAAGCTAGGCGATAATGTGGTACTAAAACGGTTGATTCTTGCAACCGATGCCACGGGACGTACATTCTGTGACGCATGCACAGCACCAAACGTAGATTTAATTGTAGTCTTTACACCAACGCTCGTAGGTCCAGCTGAAGCAGCAGCGTCACTGAGAACGTTTTTTGAACCAAGAACAGAAGCTTTTCCTAAATTTGACCTGATTCCGCAGTTGGAAAGTTGGTTCATGGTATTGCCGATTTCGTGGCTATTCACGGGTGGAGGTTTAGTCTGTGGTCGTTCGGGCTGCGTCACTGGCACTGAGATGTGCATTCTTCTAGTGCCAGAACTGAGTGAGGTGTCTCGTTTAGGTAGGACTGGGAGCCCAGTAGCAGCGCTGTTATCACAATCAAGAGTGGCAGTCGATTGGAACGCAGGATCGAGGGAAGATGGATCAAATGACGGATTGGATGCAGATGGTTCAGAGATTGGCTTTTCGGGAGACTTGGTGATCAACTCCTGGCCGTCGGTGCCAGGCGTGAAAGATACGACATTAACCCGCTTTCGAGAGCCCAATGGTGACAACGACTTGGTAGTATAAGGGCCATTAAAAGTGTTTGCTGCTGGACGAGATGACAAAGGTTTGCTGCGTAGCAACTGATCAAACCTTATGTCTTGGCTTGTGCGGTTGGCGAAGGTTTTGTATCGCACCTAGGAAGGACGATGG